CGCTGCTTCCTTGGTTAAAGAAGTCAATTTTCCATTTGCAAACTTGTTACATGTTGACTACTGTAACAACCACTTTCCTTCCACAAAAAAAAGAGGAAAACACTCCAAACATTAAGGACTTTAAACAGAGATATAATACAGCTCAAGTCTCACCTTTATCCACTGGTTACAGCGGGGATCATACCTATATAAGAGATTTGAAGCTGCATCCCCTCCATTGTCTCTTGAAAAACTGCCTCCAGCTATGAAGATGAAGCCTCCCAAGACTGCAACACAGTGGTGACTTCGTCTGGCTGGCAGAGGCGTTTCTGCTACCCATTGCCCCTTTCTGATGTCCAAGAAGCAGGTATCATCACTCAGTTCTAGGCACCGTTCGGAAACCTCCCCGCCCACAAAGAGGAGCCTTTCCTCGCTAGTTCTCAGAGCAGTCCGTTTGTTCTGCAGCACTGGCTGAGCAGTGACATTATTATGATAGTTCACCGCTTCCTCTATAAATCCCTCACAGTTTGCTTCTTTGGGAAGAAGGGAGCAGACAGCAGGCTTGACTCGATGGAGAAGATCGCTTTTAGGTATCAAAGGAAAGTGAATGTTATCCAGAACCTGGTAAGCCTCATTCTCCCTTTCCGGGTACTGGGTGAGCCACTGCAAGGCAGCCTGCAGCAAGTCATGCTCACACTCCTGCTGCACGTTGCTGCTGTCCAGGTACTGGCACAACTTCTGCATGGAAACGTTCTGCAGGAAGTCTGGGGTGAAAGACAGCGTGCCAAAGTTCTGCAAGATGAAAGAATCAATGTAGGAGTCAAGGCGCTTCAGGTTGTATATAGAGGCTAGCTCTTGCAGGTACAGATAGTTCTCCTCACTGACTTCATTCTCAAGATACTCGCAACAGAAGTCAACCACCTTCCAGATCTGCAGCAAATGAGCTGTTTCGAGCACATAGTCAATATTGCCGCCATCTAAAGACAGCTCGCTGCCATACAGGAAATCTACCACAGCCTTGAGACCTATATAAGAGGCTCCAAAAAGTTCAACCTCTTTCTGGTGGGCTTCTCGCATACCAATAGTGAACATAGAGTTGAAGTAGTCACTGCAAACAGCTAGGAGGTTCCGATGGGCAGGGACTCTCTGTTCATCCACCACAAGGACAATATCACAAAAGAGGCCTCGGTGCCTCTGCTCATTCAGACTCTGAAGAACAAGACTAGAGTGGTCATCCCATCTGTACACCTGCAATAAACAAACCGGATCAGACTAATGTTTGCTTTAGCAAGGGAAACTTCTGCCTTCTTATAGTGTTTTCTCAAGAGAGATATTCACACACACAGGAGAAAGCAAGCCGATTTGTGCTGCATACTTGCAGTAATTTCTGATCTGAATCACCTGGCATGTGACATCCTATGAGCTCTTCACCTTCACTCTGAAGGGCCTCTATGGGCTCTGTTACTTCCTATTATCCATTTCTGTGATAATTTACTCCTGCCTCCTCCACAATGCTGCATCCAAACCTCCTCCCTCATGATTTATAAAACCATCATTTTCTGAAACTTTTCCACTCATTGTCTTCAAGATATCTTGCTGACATTTTCTTTCTTATTTGTTCCCCAAACGACTTTTTACATAGTCCCTCACAACCAAGCTACACGCTAAATATTTGGAGCGAGGGACATATATGCAGCAGTGTGCCAAATTTTCATTCAGCCCCTGTATCGTTTGGGTTAGTGCTTACTTGACAGCTACCCCCTCTTAAATCTTTTGAGAGCTGTGCATTGGTAAGCTTGTTGGGGTAAAATCCCTGTCTTTCTTCCCATATTATTCCAGGCACGCAGACCGCTTTCAAAAAATAATAGTTGTTTATTTATGTGCAAAGCCACACATGTGGATAACTTATTCCCATGTGACTATTACTTGCTTCCAGAAGCCAAGGTAGTTTTTGTTTTAATGAATTCAAATAAAATATATATATATATATTTTTTTTTTTAAAAGAGGAAGATGCCGTCTTAACATGTCTGTTAATTGCCCTTCTGGGACCCTTCTGGTCCAGACATTCTTCCCACTAGCTCAGTACGTGCCGTAGAGCTTCTGAAGCAAGCAGCGTTCCCTTCTTTCTCACAGACTCATGTTATCAGTCTTAAAAGAACCAGCTTGGAAACACTTTGTTACCCCTTGAATGTCCTCTAGAAGACATACTGAAGGGACTGGTCACTCTAGTATGTCAAGTGATAGAGCTTTTTAGGATCTTTCTTCTGAAGGAATGGAATGCTGGTACAGTCAGTTAGCTTGTGATCTCTCTCAATAAAAGCCAGGTGAAGTTAAACGCAAATACATAATTTTAATTACCAAGTCCAAAACAGACAGACTTGCAGAGCCTGTAAGAACATGTTAAAGAAACTAAAGGGGGCGGAAAGGAAGAACATCTCTGTGTTGTTTTAAGTTAGCTCTAAACGTTTCTGGCTGCAGGTCTCTGGATCTTGCCCAGTCCTACACCTTCAGACTGCATTCCCACAAGAGAGTTCTGACTCCGAAAGGCTGTCTCAGTCCATATCCATTTTGGAAAAGGTCACACAGCTGACCTGAGTTTTTCTCAGAAGCCTCTCAGTCATTCAGCCTTTCCTTTCCCAAACTATTGCTTGCCATTTACTGCTTTAAAAGTCGTAATCATTCTTGGTGCTCCCAGTTTCCCAGACAGACAGCACATGACTATTTCTGTCTAGCTAAGCCATCAATAGGTTGGTTAACTCACTTGGAGACTTCTCTATACACCTGAATGGGAAAAGTTCAAGTGCTAGAGCCAAGTTTTTTTCCACTGCATGGAAACCTCACTCTGTATATATAGTTTGGTAATCATACTTTTATATGATATGCCCAGAATTAATGCACACAGCTCACCACTCTCCAGACATAAGGGCAGCCAACCATTCTAAGCTAATACCAAGTTTGGGAGCCTGACCTCCCACGTCTGCCTTTTAACAGTTGGTGGTATAGTGACAGGCAGTCTGCCAAAGAGTAGATCCACATTAACCGCCAAACGTGCTGTGACAGATAAGGTTTAGCCAGGGCAGCAGCATTTCTAATATATATAACAAGACATGCTTCCACAATATGATGCACACAGAGACAGGTTTCTGTAGCAAAACTCAGTCTACTGATTTTCTTTCAGGATCATGTCCTGAAACTCATAAAGAGCCCTCAGTATATACCTGGCAGGCTCAGAAAGAACCTACAAGGAACATAACCATCCCCTAAGGGCCTGCAATTGCTTACCCTTCAGCTAATAATAATAAAACATTTAACTCCTATATGGGAATTTGCATTTTATATCCTCTCCAAACTGAAAACTCAAGGGCCACTTTATAACAATCACATTGCGTTTGTTGACACTGGGGGAAGGGCAGGGGGATGGCATACACCTGGGCCTCTGTCTGCTTCTCTGCTTAGACCTCATCTACAAAGAAAGTTTTATCAGATGTAATTTCCCAAATTAATGCCCTTAGCATTATATCTGAGTGGTTTCTCTTTAGTTTTGTTTACGCTCTTTTCTAAACAACGGAGGCTAAGCAGCCAAAAAGCTTTCTTTTGGAGTAACTGCACTCACACAAATATACAGAGTTAAACCAACTAGAGAGGCTTCAATAATTGTAAGTTTTCTGGGTCGAAACTCTGAGTGCGCCTCATACTTTGTCTACGTTCTAGATTGTATTTTAAATTCAGAGACCACGATGTGAAGTAACTTCCACTAAACAATATAATGGCCAGAGAACTGTAGCAGAAAAAAAAAAAAAGTGTGGGTTTTAAAAACCGTAAAGATGTTATCGTCTTTTTTAGCTTGAGAAATGCTGATGTCATACAGGTGCCCAAGCAGACACCTAGAGGCAGAGGAGGTGGGAAGAAGAATAAACATGCTGAAGGACAAACCATACATTTGTGGCAATCGTCAGAAAGGTTTTCTTAGAGGATGAACAGATAATAACTAACAGCTTACAGCACCTTATTCTGAATTTGCCTTCTGAGACAAAGTTATTGGATTAAACCAAAACCACAGTCTTCTCATCTTTTTAAGTGGCTGATCATCCCTCTCAATAGTCTCTAATACCACCATCTTGCATAACAAGATTACGCAAGAATGTAAGAGTTGCTGTAGATCCCCATTTATTTAACTGGCTGTAGAGTCAGCAGCATAATCCTGACCGCAAATACTTATGACAACTTGTACTGCTAAAATCCTTGCTGGCCTGTAGAAACCTTGCTGCCACTTCAGAAACCATGCATAAAATGATTACTTATGGCACCAAATGAACTGAGACTATATTAATATACTTCAGCCACTTAGCAAGTTAGCCATTCATTCAGTGAGCAAGAAACACAAGCTGATAGTTGCACATTTCTAAACCAAGGCAAGTTTTATACTAAACACAAACAGTTTTCTCAAGCTATTTATATTCTGTAGAACACCTTCAGCATTAACCAGTAATTCTACGTTTAACGGACAGTGACAGCTGCTGTCTCAGCAAGAAGACAAAACAATGCTGTCAAGTTAATTAATTTTTAATGCGATAAATTATTATTACATTCAGACTAACCTTTTAAACAGCGGATAGGATCAGCACTCAGGAAAAGATTATACTGGAAGGGATGCATTTAGAAATTAGTTCCTTTTATCTTTAAATATTTGTTATTAGAGCTGTAAAAATTCTGACTTCCTTTGGATTCAAGGATCTAATTTCTTTTGGATTGTCAATGAAGTATCATTGCTCCTCCATGAGGCATAAGACAAGAATGAGACAAGTTGTCTCATTCAACTTTGATAAGACAGACACAGGCACTGAACCAGTTTTGCTTTTCTAACTGTTGTAGGTAGATGCTCAGTCTGCAGCGCCTGTAACCTAGTGCTTACACTGCAACGAAAAAAACAGTATTCACCAATATGAAACAACATGAAATTAATTACTGCTGATATTAACAACTTATAAAATGTAGGTTGTCAGCCTGATTCTGTGTAAAGAGTTACTTAAGATGGACTTCCATGAATTCCCAGCTGAGATCAATGTATTTGTGCTGACAGAGATCATAGACAAAGAAAATAAACCTTACAAATGTAAAAAAAATCCCACTGACTTCACAGGATTAATGATTATTTGCTGGATCACACCTCCCATTCCATACAAAGGACAAGATTAAGTTTGAAAAGTAAGCCTAACTCTGTTTCTGTAACTAGCTTTAATTTTATGAGATGGATCAGTATGTAAAATTTCCAACATAAACACATCTCATTTAATGACTGAAGTTCTGGTGTAGAAAAGAATACTGTGTTGCAGTGATGTGAGTTTCTTTTTTAAGTTATGAGTCACAGTGAGCAGATGCCCATTTGCTGCTGCTTTTTTATTTTTAATCCCCAACGTAGCAAATCCATATTTCAGAAACGTTTGAGCGGCTAGATCGCCGCGTTTCTAGCTCTTTTAGGAACTCACACTAGTCCTCACCGTCCTAGAGCACCGTCCCTCCAAAGCAGGGCCTCCTACCCCCGTTTTAAACTGTGCCAGTTTTTGTAACTGGTTTTGGCAAGCAACACAAAAGGTACCGACCTTCGAGGACTCACTGATCTTGTGCGGGCGACAAATCCTAGTTTGCCGGGCTCCCTCCATGACAGGCCGAGCCGCAGTACGTCTGGAACAAAGGCAGCGAGAGGACTTGTCAGCAGCACACGCAAAGCGGTGAAAAGCCATATTGGGCTGGATAAGCAACGGAAACGCTTTAGAAGACCGGTACGCGCTGATCTCGTCTGAGAACGTCAGGGTTAAGGCCAAAATAAATAAATAAAACAACAACCACCACCTGTCTTTTTGAGCTCCCCGACGGAGCTTGTTTTCTCACTGTAACGCTCTGCTGCGCCAACAAGTTCGGCGCACGCTGCCCCACGCAGATCAGCGCGTACCCTGTGGATGCCACAACTCTACCCGCACGGGCTATTCGCTTACGGCCAGTCCTTGTCAGAGCTGTGAGGGGTAAAACCGTTTCCTCGCCAACGCCGGGCAATGTCACCGCCGGGACCCCGCAGGCGGCCGGGCCGGGCGCTCGGCCCTGTTCAACCGCCCGA